TACTTCCCTATGTAGAATCTATCAGTCCGCGTGAGGACCACGCCCAACATACCCGACTAGAGGCTACACTCAGAGTTCCTACAGGTGGCAGCCCCATGTTCTCCTGAGACATGGGAAACCAATGCACAGCCAGTGTGTGGAGATCAAGCTAAGCAGGGCCTGGGTGCAAAGCAGCCATGGGAAGGCCCGGCCAAGATGAATAAGGGGTGGGGGAGGGAGACGGAGAGGGGGAGAGAGTATAAACTTGCTAAGAAGTAGAAATGAGAACAGTGTGGTAGCGCAGAGATAGAGAAGGAAGCACACCCCCTACATTTACTATCTACTGTTCTCAGTTCTGATTTGTTTGAGGGCTTGAGACCTGGCCATTTTTATATCTATGAGTGTTTTACCTTTATAATAAATTTACTGTTTATTCAGCTAGTGTTGATGTTTCTGTGTATTGCAATCAAAAGGAACCTTGACTAAGACAGATACCTGGTACTTTGTAGAGTTTCTTCTCCAAAATGTGCATTTGTGGGTTTTATTGGGCTGAAACCATGGGGCTCATTACTATAATTCTCCCTTGCTCTTTACAGGGAATAACCATATCATTGTATGTCCACCCGATTTTGAGGCTCTAGCAGTAAATGGTCTGGGTCACTTATGTGCAATTTTCAGGGAACTGTGTGCCCATGAAACGAAACTTGACCTGGTGGTCAGGAATGAGGCAGAGATTATGGACACCACTGCTAACCCAGCAATCAGATTCCTGTGATGTCCTCCAATGAACATGTTGGCAAAACTGGGACTTCTCTATTTGCAGCTTCCTGACAGATGATAAAAAATACTTAATTGAAGAACTGAAATTCATCTCAACCTCCCTAAAACAATCTATTTTGGTATAATTTATGACAATTTCCTGGGCATTTGAAGTTCTCAGTTCTCCTTTTATTGACCACTGCTCAGCTCTAACCATCTTTATAGCTGACCTGTTCTCCTCTCCCTCTTGCCCTCATGTGTACTCATCACCGTGCAGCCTACATCATGCTAAATTCTGTACAGGTACTTATACCCTTCCCCCACCTCTCCACTAATCCCTGTACTTCCCTCAATTTAGCCCAAATTGCGTCTTCTCCATGAAGGCTTGCTCAGAGCCTCCAGTTGCAATCCTTTTGGTTTTGGAATTCCTATAGCCCAGAGGTTTTCAACCAAGGGCGATTTTGCCCCCAGGTAACGTTTGGTAACATCTGGAGATATTTTTGTTTGTCTCAATCAGGAAAGGGGAGAGCGCTATTGGCATTTAATTGGTAGAGGCCAAAGAAGCTTCCAAACATCCTAAGGTGCACAAAACAGGCCCCCCAACAAAGAATTATCTAGTCCACAAATGTCGATAATGTTGAGAAACCCTACAGTCGGGCCCAACTTTGGCACCATGCACCCTATCATTTGATTTTACTCATTATGGTGTAGAATCTTAGGGCTGGATGGGAACCTTTAGAAATCATCCTATCGTCTGCCTGAATTTTCTGGGTAAGAAGCAGCTGGTGAAAGTCATAGAGTGGGTCAGTGGCACAGCTTTATCCTGATCCCTGGGCCTTTGACCATTTCCGTTTCATGATGCAGTTGTTTCCTTTCTTCCTTTCTTAACCTGGCTTCTATAAGCCAGGTTAAGATCTATTATGACACATGTAGTAACTCTCTTCTCCAATCTCGTCCCCTCAGCCCAGTACTAGGAACGCAGTACATACTTGTCAGATCAAAATAGCCTCAGGTTTTACAAAATATCACTTGATACCCCTGCAAACATATTTTTTAGAGAACTGAAGGCTTCCTTCCTAGATGTAACCTCTCAAAAGGAAAGACGACTACATCTAAATCACAGAAAGAAGGAATTCTACAGAGACCTTCTGCAGAAGTATTTTCAACATTAATTAGAGTAAATACCAGCCAACTGAGCCTTACACATTTAAATGATGGCGATGAAAATTACCCCCTTACAGCACAGAGGAAAACAGGAAAGGTTTCTACTAAGGGGAAGGATTAACTGAATTTTATAGAGAAACTGGAAAAAACAAAACAAAATTCGACAAAACCCAGAAAGGACAGAAGATTGTATAAGTTTGTAAATTTGATTCCTAGAAGCTCTTCCCATATATAAATAACTAATTTTCCCTGAAAAAAAGTGCATTTAATCAGTTGTTGACACAGAGTTCAAAAAGTCCAGGTTAAGTAACAAATGACAGTAAGACTTTATATTGGAAAAGGAGAGCTAATTGGCCAGTATTCTGCATTTCAGAGGCAGAGCAGTATAAGCAGAAGTTCACGTGTGGGCCTGGAGTGAGTTGATTCCGGATTTGAGTCCTGGCAGCACCCAGCGAAGCTGTGTGACTTTGGTGAATGCCTTATCCCACAAATCCTAGTCTTCTCGGCTTTGAAGTGAGGATCAGTACTAATACTTCCCAAAACATAACATTGTGAGGATTTGATGAAGTAATACAGGAAAAGTACTTGCCCCAGGATCAGGCTAAATCTAAGAGCTGAGTAAAGAACTAATGTTACAACTATTTCTACCTATGATCCTTTAATTTTATTTCTGAAAAAATGGGAAGATCGTTTAGTCCTGTGATGTTAAATTTTTATTTCCTCAGAAGAAATATGACATCCCCTTGCTAATATGAATGAGAACTTTGATCACACTGAAGTCTTCACATTTAAAATAAAACAATAAGCAATAGCTTTTAGATATGCATATGTGGGGCTTTTTTAAATCAGCTGAACAAATCTGTAGGGTTAAGTACCTAGAAAATAATTTAAGCTTCATTTATTTCCTTCCTTCCTTCCTTCCTTCCTTCCTTCCTTCCTTCCTTCCTTCCTTCCTTCCTCCCTTCATTCCTTCCTCCCTTCTTCCCTTTCTCCCTCCCTCCATTAACAAGATGTGCAAATGCATGTATATGAAGTTTTGTGAGAGAGTGTGTCAAGCAGCTAAGTGTTATGGAAAAGTCTGAGAAGGGAAATTTTAGAGCCTCGGTTCCAACCCTGGCTCACACTAGCAATGAGATAGCAGGCAAGTCACTTAACTATCTCTCATCTGTAAAATAAGTGGCTTGGTAGATGATTACTAAGGTTGCTTCTAGCTTTAATTACTGGATTGTAGTCTTATTTCTGGAGAGCCACAGACATCCAATTCAAATAGGTTGTTAAAAATGGTCCTGTCTTTTTTTTTTTTTTTTTTTTTTTTGCGGTACGCGGGCCTTTCACTGTTACGCGCAGTCTCAGCGGCCATGGCTCACGGGCCCAGCTGCTCCGCGGCATGTGGGATCTTCCCGGACCGGGGCACGAACCGGTGTCCCCTGCATTGGCAGACGGACTCTCAACCACTGCGCCACCAGCGAAGCCCGGCCCTGTCTTTTTAATAGTAAGTTCAATCTGTGAGAAAGAGTGAAACACTATTCATTTTTAAAATGATACTTTCCATTTTGAATAGATATCTTGGTCCAATCATTTGGCTACATTCTAAGTTCCAAAACCAGGACTGGCTTTATAGGTGTGTGTTTAATTTCTAGGCCCAGGACTCTTTCATTTTTTTTTAGTTAGAAACCCACATGGACCTCTTTCCCCTGCAGCCACTCTGTATTTGTGTTGGTTTAAAACTGCTTCACCTGCCAGACTGAGGATGTGCAGACAACTGTGCAAAGGAAACACAGTGCCCTCCTTTGGCTTCAAAGGGCAGAGGCTCCATCCTTCGGCTCCAGCCATCTGTAGTGGCCTGAGCTTCTGGGAATTCCCACATCAGTGCAAATGTGTATAAGAGTCTAGTGGACTGTGTAGAGAACTCAGCGAGGAGATGAAAGAGTACTCCTTTGAAAATCTGAGGCTGACAGGCCAAGGAAGAGCCTGGTTCTGTGAAAACCTCCAATGCCCGCTCCCTCCTATTGCTGGTGTTCTTGAACATTTGTTCAAGGCCTGACCGCCTTATTTCAGAAGGAGTCTCTAAAGAGCAGTAAATAGGGAACTATGCATAGAAAGACCCTGACTCCAACTGCTGCTCGTCATGATGATTCAACTTCAAAAACCACTTCTGATCTCCTACTTAGTGTATGCTGTCTTTGAGCTAGGCGGGGAGGACACAGTGGTGAGCAAACACAATGAAGAGCTAATCCCAATTTATCACGGTGGCCTGGCCATCGGGGGTTTACTCCCTAGCCTGTGAAATAAGGATACTACTTACCTCACAGAGCTGGCAGGACGATACAAGGAGATAATAAGTGACCAGGCACTTGAAGAGTTACTTCGTAGAAGTATTTGCAAGGTGCAATGTGGGCACAGCATTTTTAAAAATAGGCAATTTGTTCCTGGAGGTATGTAGAGGTTTTTTCCCCCAATAGGAACAGCTTAAATGGAAGTGGAGATAGGAAGAAATTTAAATGATTTGGCTTTTCTCATTTTCAAACATTGGAACTTGACATCCCGGGCAGCGCCCCTCCCCGGACCAGTCACCTAGGGGAATGCCAGCTGAACAGATAACGCCAACAGAGGAAGAAGATCGTGCCCATTCCAATGCTGGCCATGTCCACCCGTCCAGAGCTTCCTGACCTGCTCTTTTTCCTCTTCCCACACCCGCCTAGTCCCAGCGCCCTGGAGGACAAGGCCCGGCGACCCTGCCCCGACCCCGGGCTCCCGCACTATGTGGGCGGCTGCTGTACAGAGGGTCTGGGAAAAAGAACGAGCGAGCGGACAGGAGGGGCCTCGTCCAGTGGGCGGGGTACGGGGCGGGGCCATGGCCTAATCCGGGAGGCGGGAGCTGCGGACGGACTTGGAAAGGAAGCCGGGGCGAAGCGGGGAGGCTGGACCAGGCTGAGGTGGGCGGGTCCGGGGGCGGGGTCACTGGATGTGCCTCCTGCCAGTGCGGGCGGAGCCGGGGCTAAACTGGGAGAGGCAGGGCCGAGAGGAGGTGGGTGGGGCCTGAGGGGAGGGTCCCTGGTGGGGCGGGGTGCACAGCGCGCGGGGGCTGAGCCCAGACAGTCTGTCAGCGCGCGGGCTCCAGAGCTGCTCTTCGTGCCGGAGCCCGGGACGGGGCGCCCCGGGGAAGGAGGGCGAAGGGCCGCGGCGATGGCTCCGCCGGGACTCCTGGAGTCCGCTGTCCTCGCCGCAGCTGTCTTCGTGGGAGGCGCCGTGAGTTCGCCGCTCGTGGCCCCGGGTGAGTGCCCTGTAGCAGCCGGGGCGCGCAGGAGGAGGCGAGGGATCGGGACTGTAGTCCCGCTGCTCTTCGAGCTGCCCTGGTCCTGGCACAGCCGTAGGATCCCGGCGCTGAACATCTGGCTGTCTGGGGGTGGCCCGGGCCGGGCGCGACGCGTGGAGATGGCTCCCGTCCCTCCCAGCCTGCTCGGCTCCCGCCTTCCCTCCTCCGAGGACCTGTTACCCCCCGGCCCCACCTCTGAGCTGTCTGGCGTGTAGGGACCCGGCCGGCTCTTGCCTTCCTCGGGAGCCCTTCCGCCCGGGCCCAGCAACCTGGAGCCCCTGCGGACCCCTTTCCTGCCCTTGTCCTCAAAGGCCCCGCGAGCGGAAGATCGTGACACCGGGCACCGGGTGCGCTGTCGCCGCCTTCCCCCTCCTCCTTTTTTTTTTTTTAAATCTTAAAACCTTGAGGAGTTACAATTTCTTTCCTTTCCAAGTTTTAATTTATTTTCGTGGTTGATGGATTCTTGTAACAGGTTGGGGATTTCTGGTTTCCTCCCACATATCCTGGATAAGTCAGGCTTGGAAAAACGGAAGGCGTGTTTGTAAACTTACCTTTTTGTTTTTCTTCTTTGAGTTGATTCCTGTCACCACAAAAGGAACCTTCTGTGGTCAGAGCAGGAAGCCACCAGCAGAGATGATAAAATGCTGTCCCCAGTGATGAACTTGGAGCAGTTTTTAATTGAAATCTAAGAGGAGGTGTAACTTTTACGGAAGTCCTTTCTCACACTCTTGTTTTTATAATTATAGACACCAGGGATTCCTTACCACCGAGCCCCTTCTTAACTGCCACCTTACAGCAGTAGTTTAAAAAAAAAAAAAAGTATACCTTCTTGTCCAGCTGGGGTTCCTAGAGCCTGGAATCTTACGTCAGCAAGCTCTTCCAAGCTTGAGCAGCTCCTCTTCAGTCCAAATAATAAGCAATAACTGGAAGCCTTCCAACCATAACTATCTCCTCCATAGAAACACATATACTGCTCTTCACTCCTAAGAAGAATCCACTTGCTTACAGCTTTTAAACTGGCTTATCACTCTGGCCTTCACTTTTTCGTAGAAATCAGAATACGTTAGGAAGGGAACATATGTCTCCTGAGTCTTTATTAGCAGATCTGTATTTCCTTCAGCCATCCACCCTGAGGAAATGGCCGCTAGTGACATGTATTATTGGATGGGAGATTTTGGTTTTCACCCTGCATTTCATTGCTGAGACAGGTAGATGCATCATCAGGTTCCAATTGGACCCCAGGCTGTAGACAGTACTTAGAGGGCTAGAGTCAGTTGCTCCAGAATTTGAAGAGCTTGACCTGGGAGGGAAACTGTTAATAATTGAGCACATGATGCATGTAATCAGTCAGAGCAGGAGAAATCATCTGTAGAGTGAGTTTGTGTTTTGATGGACCTTTGAGCAACACACAGCTTTCAGGACTGGAATGTGATGACAAAACTCTTAATTACACAGTATAACACTTTAGAAGAATGAGGTATCTAAAAAGGAAAGGGTACGGAGTACAAATGTGCCAGTGTGACTTGAGACCTGTTTTGTGATGAAAAGATGCCCTGACCAGCCAACATCTGGTCCCCGTGGAACCTAAGATGGTGTTAATGTTTGTAGGGAATGTTTTAGGGAAGCAGGGAGAAAGATGGGGAGCAATGTTGAGTGCCTGCTATGTGTCAAGCTTTGAGTTGGGCACTTTATATTCATTTTTATACTTATTTCTCAATTCTGTGAAGTTATTTCCAGTGAGGCACCTGAGGCCCAGAAAGATTAAACAATTGGCCCAACATCACATAGCTAGTGTATCCATCAGCATTCAGTCCAAGAAGCAGAATCACTAGGAGGGGAGTGTGTGTGTATGTGTGTCTATGTGTATCTTTATCTTTGATAACCCAGTCTGCTTGATTCCAAAGTTCATTCTCTTTGCACTATACTGCACTGCTCCCCAGAGAGAAAATAGAAAAGAAATCACCTTCAGCCGTCTTGCTGAGATTCTAAGATAGGGAGTTTAGGACATCATAATATTGTAAACATGGGGTTATCAGAAGATGGGAAGTAGAGAAAAGAAGGACAGTTAAGTGCACAGTGGGTAGTGGCAAAGTCTCTGACTTCCTGCCTAGTAGAAGAATCTCATTAAGCTTAAGAATCTCATTAAGCTTCTCATTAAGCAGCATTCGAAACTATATACCACCAGCACCAGAAGGGATGGTTTTCCACATCTTGGCTTATTTATGTCTTTTAACTTCTCTGGTTACTTAGGGCTTAGTTTCTCTGCAGACAGTGGGCATGGCCTTTGAGTAAGGAGTGGGCTGAAAAGGACCATGGGCTGGTGAATGAGAGGTGCCCTCTCCTGGGGCTCTGTGGGCTTCCATCCAGACTCCTGATTCCTCATTTAGATGCTAACGATAAGCTTTATTAAATTCTGGGTTCTCCTTTGGCCAGGTAGCTGCCTAGCTGTATATTTACATTAATCTTAGTCAGTGGACAGAATGTTTTGAGAAGGCACTCCTTGGAGCTTGGGCTTCCCTGCCCAAATTTCATTTAAAGAGAAAATGCAAAATTCGAGGCGTGCCTGTCCTTCCCTATCTCCCCATCCCCACCCCATCCCCGCCCCCAAATAAATCAAAATATTTGAGAGTTTCAGTAGTCGCATTTGAATGAGAGAGACCAAAGCCCCAGGTGATAGAGAAAAAAGTTTTCATTATTACTTTTTAAAAAATTGTCTCTGATGTTGAAGTTTAATTACACGTTGGGGCAAAAGAGTTGTTATTTGACACCAAAAAAAACATGATTTAAATTGTCATTGGTTAAAACTATTATGTTGAGTTGTTTCTGAGAATTTTAGGGCAGTTACTTCGGAAATTCTAAGGATTTGGTGGACTGCTGAAAGCAGGGAGAACAGTGAGTCTGGCTAAAATTGGAATCTGCAGTTAGTACACTGTGGGCCCTTTTCAGAGGAAGGAATGCAGTGTTTATGATACCTGTTTTGTGGCAGGCTCTGGTCTAAGTACTCAGATCATTTAATTCTTACAACATCCTGTCAGCTATATAGTTTTATTCCTCCATGTATAGATGAGGAAGTTGAATTCTGAGAAGTTAACTTGAAAAGGTCACTTACCTGTGTAAGTTGGATTTTGACGTGGACTCACATGTATTCAATTCTGAGGCCTGTTATTGTTACCAAATCATTTTGTTTTTCTTTAGAGTGAGGAATTTATTTTTACTGTAAGATATTTATAAAGAATCATTAATAGGATAATGGCATGATAGAGTAGAAAGAGCACCAAGCTCTAAGTCAGAACCCTGGACTTGAAATGTGCCTGCCGCTTTCTGGAGTGTGGCTCTCTCTGCCTCCATTTTCTTGCCTGGAAAATGGGTGTGTGCCAACCCCTATCTTTTTCTGCCTTACTGGCTGCTAGTGAGGAGCAAATGAGCTGGTGTCTCTGAAAGGTCTTGGCAAATGGCAGAGTGGTATATATCTTCTATCCTGTGTATCTTTTTTCCTGTATTTCTTACCCAAAGTGCCCATTAGACTAGACTTATAATGTCAACCAAACAACTGTCTAATAAATGTAGACCACACATGTTTTCATTCTGGAAGTGGTGAGGGTTTTGCAGTCATAGGTTCATTGTAAATATATAAAGTCTGGAGTGACACCTCAGATTCATGAGTTTGCTGCCATTGACTGGGAGTTAAGTAGCCAAACCTTTTTTTCCCATTTCTCCTCAGCTAAAATACAGTGCTCTTGGTATTTCTGGATAATTCCCCAAAAGATCTAAAGTTTTGGGGGAAAGGGAGAGAATAACACTTGATCTCATTACTCCAAGACACTTGTCACTGTCAGCCTATTTCATTCTGGTCTTCTTTGTATGTATTTTCTACTTGGAGGGGATCATAATGCAAAGATACTTTTCTACCTGGCATTTTTTACCTAATGTTATACTTAAAGGCTTCTCCATTTCCCTACACACCCACAAAGTGGCTGCATAATATTGCATTACATGGTTCTCTGTCTTCTATCTCACTGTGCTTCCATTTTAGATTTTAGATTTTGCTAATTTTTTTCCACTCTGCGGCATGTGGGATCTTCCCGGACCGGGGCAAGAACCCGTGTCCCCTGCATCGGCAGGCGGACTCTCAACCACTGCGCCACCGCTAATTATTTTTAAACGAATTTTAAAAGTCATTGTTTAGTGAACATCTATGCAAAACTTTGTCTGGATATTGATGACTTCCATAGAAAATGGGTTCCTGAAAAGGCAATGTTGGGGTCAAAGGTATTCATGTTTGAGGCCATTGATGCCACCAACCTTAGTGACCTGAAGGTTGTTCCAGTTTACATTCTCACAGCAGTGGTCAAAAGACTCACTTTTCATACCATTGGCATTTTCTCTGAAAAACATATTTGCTAAATTGTAAGGCAAAAATTTATACCTTGATTGTTTAAATGTGTATGTCTTTGATTACTAATAGTTGACTATTTTCTTCTAGTATAATATTTGAGCCATTTGCACATGCCTGTAATCCTTTACGGACAATTCTGAAATCTGAAAAACTCCGAAAACCAGAAGATTTTTGAGGCTTTTTGCATACTTCGTTGGCGGGTGAAACCTAACCTGAACCAGTGTGAATATTGCTAAGTTTTGGCTGCAGTAATAATAATGAGTTTGATTTCTGAGTGTTACATAATGTGTGCTAAATGCATTGTTACCTTTCTAGAATTACAAAGTCTGAATTTCGAGGCACATCTGACCTCCAGGCTTTCAGATAAGGGATTATGGTCCTGCATTTCCTCTTTCGTGACTCATCTGCTCTTGTTTGCGGGCAGCCAAGTGTAAAACTGCTCAAAATAGTAAAATACCCTATGGAGAAAAAGAACTCCTCAAATGCGTGGCACGTCGTGAAAAGAAGCACTGCTTTGGTCTTTTAGTGGGGAATCTAATAAAGCAAAGATACTTTGGCAAAG